CCAAGGTTGCAGGCCTGTGCTCAGTGAGGGCAGTACAGACTGATAAACTGGGTCAAAGGTATGGGGAAGATATTTCCCCAACAATCATAATGGACTCACACAGGAGAGGTATTGATGATGAAGATCAAAAGGTGTTCTCAGAAGCCAGAAAGAAAGAGTTGGTGACTTGATGGAATCAGACACACAACTTCCATCAGCCATTAAAGGATAACCTGTTTGTGTGACTGAAATAAAACAAGCCTCATCACATGCTTATTGGCTGTGTGAGCGACGCTGAGTGAGATGCACCTGAACAGACCAAACATTGTGAGTGAGGAGAAGCTCTGAGGAAAGCTTGGTGCAATGCAGGAGCACTGTGATCTCTGTGATGGAAGCACCAGTTTTGGCAGCAGCGTCACGTCTGACTCACTTTTGCCTCCTGGCCAATGACTGAATAGTTAATGGAATGGATCCTCCCCGAGAGGCATCAGACAAATCTGGGTTTGTTATCACTGCAGGGGCTGTTGGCGAGGCACAGAAAACAGGGGGGGTCTGTACTTTTCTCTCAAATCTCTTTCCACAAGGAGCACCTGCCAGTTACCGAATTCTCCCCCCAGGACTCAAACACTCTCCTGTCTGCTTTCCGTTCCCCCTCTGTCATTCCAACCCTGTCTCCTAAAAATTACGTTCCCACAGAACTAAACTGCATTCTCAATTACGTTTAGCTAGAAACGTATTTTCTCCCACGTTACGTTTGTTATGAACGTATCTCAAATACGTTTATTTTCGACATATCTTCTAGAAACATATCTTCTCCCACGTTACGTTCGTTATGAACGTATCTTAAATACGTTTATTTTCTACATATCTTCTAGAAACGTATTTTCTCCCACCGTTATGAACGTATCTTAAATACATTTATTTTCTACATATCTTTGCCATGTATTGCCTTGCTTATAATAATGATAATAGTCATTTATAAATATCATTTTAGAGCACACATTTGAAATCGAGAATCGGGCTCGATATATGGTTAAATTAAAATCAGTAGGCGAGGCTGTAATTTCGGCAGCTGTTACTCTCATGAGCGAGGCAGAAAATAATAGTTTTAACATGACAAAAAGCTGCTGTGTCGTTTATTGCACCTCAAAGATTAAAACAAATCCAGAGTTACTTGTTTCTGTACTTCCTCTAAGAAGAAAGGACAGTAAAAGAAGAGCTCTGTGGCTTCAGGCTTGATCGCCGTTCAAATGACAGCGTTGGTTTCCCCAAAAGTGGGCGGGGCTGTAAAGTGACGTTTTACTATCATCTATTATTCAAAACCATTCTATTTATTCTAACGTAAATTACATGCCAGTGTTTTATCTTTTTATTTATTTGTTTTTATTTTAAATCGTATAATGTCGGACTTTTTTCCCGTCTGTGAGGAAAATAAATGGGGTTTAGAGCCTCAAAATACTGAAATCTGTATTTTTTAAAATCTTTTCCTTCTAATTTGTTATTCTTTTCTAAATAACACACTGTTATTTACTCAACAATAACACACAATTATCCTTGTTTTTATTTATTCGTTTAATTCTATAATCTTGGGCTTTTTAGCCGTAAATAAAGTCACCGGAAACAGACGGGACATTTCGAGCGATACACACCACAAACCCACCGAACTGATTACCCAAGATCCTCAGCTTGAAGCTCGTTGATTGGATGTTTTAGCCGCAATAAACGCTGGGATATGGTGTTAATAAGTTGTGATATCCGAAAACGAAAAATAAAATAATACCTAATTCAGAGTGTTCTTGCTTTTCTCTTTGGAAGTCATCACATGACGGCATTGTAATACACGGTTCGGCTGCATTAAATATTATACATCTGCCGTAGTTCTTTATTTATAGAGCCCTGATGAGAAGACTTCTAGACAAACATGAGGAACTGCCGCCAAAACTGAATACTTGATGTGGATCATAAATATATCAACAATTAAACAACATCTTCAATTTCTTTTCACAAAATACGTCTCCTTGCAGTATCAATAGTAATTCGGCTGACTTTTATATTTGATCCAATTGGTAGATAATAGGTTATATTTACACCATAACGGTGCACAGCTGATAGAAAAGGACTTGTAGTTTTTAAAGATATTACTGATTTTCTTTGAATATAAGAATGTAAATACTGAGTTGAGAGAATAGTCAGGGGATTTGGGTGATGGGAGACACATCTATGGATTCAGAATTTCAATAGCGTACCATTAAATGACGGATATACCTTTCTGTCTGTGATGTTTTACAAATCAGATATTAATGTGTAGAAGTAAAACATGTGAAATAATATAGCAATATCCTGTAAAATTATGTAAAAACATGAATAAAACTACACATCTTCAGATGTTATACATACATAAGTGTTCTACACTAATAATACAAAGTTATTATTAGTATGCTGTGTGTACCTTGTGTGCACCACTTAGTGGTTAAAGCACGTTATTGAATTATTTTTGTTGAATAATGTTATTTGATGAAAACAATATTAAGAGTACATACTTTCATAGGGGGAAAGTAGAAGGTCAATGATAGAAATATAGAATATAAAAAGTCAAGAAGATACTATAAGTGATCTCTACAATAAAACAGTTTAGTGCCGGATGTACAAAGATATTAATAGGAGGAGGTGCAAAACAGAAAAACGAATTAACCTTTATTAACACATTAAAGAATACTTTAGGTTAAGGTCTTATTTTAAACAAGAAAAAAGCTTTGGGGGTATCTATCTACCGATGAATATTAAGCCTGACAAAGTACTTAACGTCTAATATATTGCTTTCCTGCAATGTTAACTATGTTGAAGCACTTCTTTTAACTGATATTATACACATTAATTATACTCTTATGTATGTAGATAGAATAAGAAATGTGCAGAATATGACAGTTTAATGGTGGAGGTATACACACATATTGATAGATGTCTTGTAATGCGCTGTTGAGGAACCTGCGACCCAAGTTGTGTATATGATCAATAAACCTTAGAAAATCTTGAAATCTTGAAAGGGATGTGCAAAATAGCCATTATACAGTTTTTAATTGACTATTAGTAGAGAATAACGAGTAATGAATATACTTTATAGAGATCTGCAGATAAATGTTTCGTCTTCTCAAGCACCAACTATCAAATATCTCTCCTGATTGTTGGCACTTGACAATCACCTTACCTGAATTTTACTCAGGTGTAACTAAAGTCTGCTTTAAGGGTTGTTTATATTTCACATCATTAATCAGAATCTGCAAAGTAACTAAACTAAATGTAGTGGAGTAAAAATACCAGGTTAACCTCTGAATTGTAGTGGAGTAGAATTACAAAGTAAGCTGTCGTGTGGGTATATATTAATGCTGCCCATTATGGATATAAGCGATTTTTACCCATTTAGTAATTACATGTTTTAAATGTGTACACACCAATGTGTTTCCTATCGCCTAAACCTCCAGGGCTGTACACAGTTTAATACTGGCAACTTCTAATTTTGGGAAAAACGTCTTTTAAAACTACAATTCCCAGTAGATACGTGCCATAGAGAACATGTTGCGAAACACAATAGCCAGCATGTGTATTTCTCGGGGGGCGTTCGAGTCCAGTTTTGAATAGTCTGCCGTGGTTTCGTTCCATTTCAAAGAGCTTGACGCTCGGCGTAACCTTGGCGCACTGCCACTCCAACATCACGGGGTTTGTCAACGGGACTGTAGTCCCAAACGATAGCTGGGGATTATGGGTAGTGTAGTGTCTTCGGCCATCCTAAATCTCGAAATGTCCCGTCTGTTTCTGGTGACTTTATTTACGGCTAAAAATCCCAAGATTATAGAATTAAACAAATAAATAAAAACAAGGATAATTGTGTGTTATTGTTGAGTAAATAACAGTGTGTTATTTAGAAAAGAATAACAAATTAGAAGGAAAAGATTTTAAAAAATACAGATTTCAGTATTTTGAGGCTCTAAACCCCATTTATTTTCCTCACAGACGTTTATACGATTTAAAATAAAAACAAATAAATAAAAAGATAAAACACTGGCATGTAATTTACGTTAGAATAAATAGAATGGTTTTGAATAATAGATGATAGTAAAACGTCACTTTACAGCCCCGCCCACTTTTGGGGAAACCAACGCTGTCATTTGAACGGCGATCAAGCCTGAAGCCACAGAGCTCTTCTTTTACTGTCTTTTCTTCTTAGAGGAAGTACAGAAACACGTAACTCTGGATTTGTTTTAATGTTTGAGGTAAACGACACAGCAGCTTTTTGTCATGTTAAAACTATTATTTTCTGCCTCGCTCATGAGAGTAACAGCTGCCGAAATTACAGCCTCGCCTACTGATTTTAATGTAACCATATATCGAGCCTGATTCTCGATTTCAAAGGTGTGCTCTAAAATGATATTTATAAATGACTATTATCATTATTATAAGCAAGACAATAAATGGCAAAGATATGTAGAAAATAAACGTATTTAAGATACGTTCATAACGAACGTAACGTGGGAGTAAATACGTTTCAAGCTAAACGTAATTCAGAATGCAGTTTAGTTCTGTGGGAACGTAATTTTTAGGAGACAGGGTTGGTCATTCTCTGGTCAAAAAACTTCATGTGTTTGGGTCAACGCTGAACTCAAAACGTTTCTGGATATAAAATGATAACTTTGGTTAACATTTGGCATTATGTCATCAAACTACACATATCTGTCAGGGTACGGCCGTACTACTGGGTTTCTGCAAAATCTCTGAGGTTTTTGTGATGAACGTGTTGCCCTCTGTCTCTAAAACCATGTTGGTTTTCAGGGTTTCTGTTGGAATCTGCGTATCAACGCTGACTAAATGTCTTCTTTCCTGATCATCTAGTTTAGACGGACAGTGGTTTTGGTAGACTTGGAAGTGCCATAAACTTTCCACTTAGTGCTCTGAGCGTCTGTCGAGATTTTTTTCTGAATATGAGCCGGGTATGACTGACCTGATTCCTGTTCTGTGTGTCACCTCAGGCACCATCTGTCATGGCATTCCCTCCAACCACATCCACAGGCATGATGGCATATGGAATGGTAAGTCTGCTCTGACACACACACACACACACACACACACACACACACACACACACACCGCTCTGTAGCATAATTAACGTAAGCTTCAGTATTTTGTTGTTATTGTGAGGGAATAAGTGGGTATATGCAGGAGGATTGTGGTGGTAATGTGTTCACTGAATGACAGTGCGTCTCCTCCTGCACTCCAGCTGAACTGAAAGCCCTTTACACACGCTGTGGTGTCATCACTGAACGCTTTGGTCTCCTTCACAGCGTTAGAACATTATTTTAGGAGGTCTTTGTTATTTTTGTCTCCAAGCTTTTTTCTTTTGTAATCCATCGGTGTGATATTATATTTTCTTCGTCAGCCTCCCCAGGTGAGCTCCATGATGATGACCCAGCCTGTGATAAGGCCAGCCAACCCTTTTGGCCCCAACCCAGGTGCACAGGTAATGGACGGCCACACCTCCACTGCCCCCCCTTCCTCACATGAGCCAGCCTGAACCACGTTAACCTTCGTAATACACCAACCTGTGTGGTTGTTAATTGTAAACTGAATGCAACAACGTGCATGCATGACATACACACACAGTTTTATATTCTTATCGGGCACCCGTACCATAGCTTTTATTCTGAAGAAATAAACAACAAAACATAACTGGGTTCTGTTATGTGATCCATCAGAATATATCACAAACACATTTTAGCCATCCAAGACTTAAAGAATGAATGTCACAGATGATCTGAGAAACGATTCAATACACTAAGCTACATTATTGCTGTACACAGCGTCTGTGTTGTTCCCTGTTGGAGGACTTACGCTCTTATGTTCTCTACACATTGCTTGTCTGGGTACTGGTTATGCATTTCTGGGTATAACCGTTTGTCTCTGATCCACAATGTTGTTTTTGTTCTTTCTTACTAGATGCAGTTTATGTAACCTGAAGGAGGAGGGGTCTTACCCCAAACCCATCTGAAGATGATTTAAAACAATGTCAACTATCCAAGCAAACGTGCAGTTTGCTTCTAAGGAATGTCTCTCTCTGAGAATAAAAAGCCCAACCAGACTTGATGAACTCACGGTGACTGGGAGCGGCGTCACAGTGGACATTGGCCCCGCCTTGTCCTGTGGAAGTCCTAGAAGAGAAGGAGCGTACTGCCATTCAACACCATGTGGACAGCTTTCGAACCTACTCTATCCTGGACTAAGAGAAACACAACAGCTTTCTGACACTGCTGTATGTACCTGGGGAAAACAGTGAGGGTGGTTGTCACGGTAACATTGGGAGTTGTCTTTCTCCGTTCCTCTTTCTCCAGGTGAGCGAGGGAGAGTCACTTATTTTGATTATCAATCATGATTACCTACATAAAGCATCCCCACATTAGGAAAACAAACTCCTTCAAGACATGTTTATGTATTGTTTGCAGTAGACATTCCGTATGCATTGTTTGTATTTATTTATGATTACCTACAGAGAAAATGACAAAAAAAAGTCAATGTAACTTGTCGCTGACCTCCAGGTGGAAGGCCTTCAGATGTATTCATAGGAATGATTGAATGTAGAGTTGGATTTTGAGTGATTGAGATGATTTTTTGAAAAATAAGTTAATATAAAGTTTAAAGAGAGGCATTTTGCTGTTGGGTCACTAAATATTCTCTTCACCCGCTATAGGGGTCACACTGGGGGTATAAACATTTTTTTTGTATTCAATAAAACCATCATAACAATGGGGAAGATTTCTACAAAAAAGGAAAATGCATTTATGCTTTTGACGCTTTTGGCATGCCATTTATTCTCACATTTAACAAGCTCCTGGCTGCCCTCGTCCAACAGGAATGTGCAGGGTCCCTCTCATGCTCAGATCATGTTTCAATAGCAAGCACTGGGGCATTAAGACAATGTGGCGGCACCGGGAGGCTCAGGTAACACTGCTGACAGGGGGCAGAAAGGTTTAATGTTCAGCAGAATAGAGCACTGTTGATCGGTGCTTTGTGTAAATAAAAACTTTTCCTGCCAATCACATGATGGGCGAGTGCAGGTAACAAAGATGATCTGAACATAAAAGTGGCCCTTTATCCATAACTGAGCCTATTTGCAGCGTTGACCCTGCAGATTCTATTTTTGTTTGTTTGATTTTTACGAATAAAGTGCAAGCGTCAACACTTCTTGACTGTTTTGTTTATATTGAAAAAAAGGTATTGGGCACTTCACTCATTAGAAGTTAATGACAGTTGTTTCCTTGTCCGATGTCAGGGTCTAAGGACAGAGGGTGTCGTATTTATATTCTGTGTAAATTCCCCTGGGACAAATGTAAAATGTGCCATTGACTTTGTAATTTCCCATGGAAGGACTCACAAGCTACTCTGTGAGGCCTGCCTTTTCCTCGTCCTGCGTTACCTGAACAAATGTTTTTTTATTGCCCTGTGCAAGGGTGTGCTGGGAAAATGTCATGACCTACACGTGCACAGTCCAAGCGCAACAGCCATCAAACATTGAGACGGGGGTATCTTGAAATATCCAATAAATGTAGGGATTTTCTTTAGATCTGAGTCATTGTGCTCTTTCAGCCTTTAGCTTAGTAAACACTTTTTCTTTGTGACAATTTGCTGCAAGTTGTTCAGGCAGGGGCTATTATTATTATGCTGATTGTGATGGGCCATGTCAGCTGATACATTTGTATTTGTGTTTAACATGGCCTGATACATGGATGGTAAATAGAATGCCTTTAAATAGTGCATCTCGAGTCACCATCCACACACTGGTGGCAGAGCGGCCATTCAAGCTCAACGGGAACAAGAAACACTCGCACAGGCTGTGACATCACTGTGATGATGACCCATGAGCCGTGGATTCAGTGGGGCACGTTTTTTTTGTTCCTGAAGTAAATGTAATCAATTACACATATTGACAATTCCGTGCCCTTGCACACCAGCTTGCAGTTTCAGTGTGTGTTTTTCACTTTTCACAAGATATTGAAAGATTATGACTTGTCAGCTCATAAGTGGAACGTTGTTTAAACAGGAATTATACTTTTTTTTCCAACAAGGTAGACCACAAGCTAAAACAAATGTTTCTGAAGGTTTCAAAAACTAGGACAAATCGCATTGGTCTCTGTGCGTTGCTGGCTCTCTGACAAGGTTAGGGCTCAGATACCCCAAATATGTTCACTTCTCTGTTTTTCTCTGGGTCTGGTGGAGGAAATAATGATTTGATCCCTTGCCAATTTTGTAAGTGTACCCACTTACAAATAAATGAACAGTCTATAATTTGAATGGTAGGTTTATTTTAACAGAGTAAGAATATCAAAAAGAATATCCAGAAATGTACATAATATAAAAGATATAAATTGATTTGCATTTAACTGTGGGAAATAAGTATGTCATCCCCTTGCAACCAACAAGAATTCTGGCTCCCACAGACCGGTCACATAAGTCCCAGCCCAAACAGTCCAGTTTGATGGAAATGTTGTCGTCAGGTATGTCCTGGTGGAGTTATGTTTCCGTAGAGCACGTTCAACTTCCGTTAGCTCGTTCCTTTTATTATCCAGTGATCTTATGTTGCAGAAGATGAGACACAGCTTTTATCTCCCCCTTCTTACTCTGTCTGGTTTACCCAGTATCTTCTATGTTCTTCTCCAGATTTCCGTGGGGATAGCTGTTGTTCCGCCCATCATATCAGCCAGCTGTTCCCTGGTGTAAACAAGGCAGCTACTGTATATGCAAATCAGCATAAATTCAACAGGAAAAAATGAACAAGAATCTCTCTCCATACTCGTGTTCAGAGAGGGTGCAGCTTAAGAATTACTATAATAAGTTACTAATAGAAAAAAAGGTAAGTAAGCTAAAAGTTGAAAATAGTACAAATATGTCAGGAGCAACTGCAACAGGCTGCACTCCAATTGGTGTATGCATTCTATTATTGCAAAGATTAAGTATTACATTTACACAAAGTTGAGGAACTGGCAAAGATATCTTTAAAAATAAAGGTTGAAATAAAAACAGCAGATTACACTTGACTTTCAGTACCCAGCTCCATGGCGGTCCTACATTCAGCTTAATCATGAAACATCTTTTGTTAAAATATCCTATCTATCTTTCAAGATTTTCTTTCAAAATTCCTTCAGAGACTCTAACACTATATTCAACTGATCATAGTTATTGAATTAGAAGGGTAGCATTACATGTGACTACTAAACTGACATGTTTTAAGTAAAGTTTGTGGAGTCTACCTTTAATGGCAACATTCAGTACTCCAGAGAAGGTGTGTTAACTCAGTGGTCAGGTGATATATGTGCTGCTCGACCCTGATGAGATTAATTCTGCTGCTAAACCCACAGGTGCATCTATAAGCGCGCACACACACACACACACACACACACACACGGACCTTCATATAAAGCCACATCCTGCTTGGCAGAGCCTGGAGAGCAGCATCAGAAGAGTCCTTGTTGTGCTGCACTTCCCCTCAGTCTGGATGCAGCAGTAGAAAGATGCACTGTGTGTTTGTGTGGGACTCATGATAGAAGTAATTGGCAACTAAGTAAAAGCCTTACTCTTTAAGTGATGCCTTCCAATCCACAGCCATCTTCAGGCTGTTACACTTATCCTACCAATTCCTGATTTATAATGGAAAAATCATGTATTTATGTATCATTCTCAAAAGACCAGAGGCCTGTACTACACGAAGCTGGTTCAACCTAACCTGGATATGTTTGAGTCAGCCGGTTGGCCTAATCCAAAACATACGCGCTCTCGCTAAACGGTACTACGACGCGGGTTATCAAGTGGATCGCTCAAGCCAGCCGTGTCCTATCTAGTTAGGTGCGCGTTCACATGAAAGGGGTGGTATTTGGAGAATTCGACCAATCACAAACATGGAGAAGCGTACTGACAGCGCAGCGTCATACTTCCTGAATGAAAAGTGAACTTTAATATTAGTCAAATATGAAGTTAAACTTCCATAACTTAAACTCGCTGCACCTGCAATGTGAATACAGCTGGTAACAGAGCAAGTGTTTGAATGCGTACATTAACAGGTTTATGATATCACTGCCCCGTCTAAGACACCATCTGACTTTCATTACATTTGACTCGAGTGTTTCGTCAACTTAATGTGTTGCTTAAAATAATACTTCTGCATACAGTATGTGACACTGAGTGTTGCACGGCCAGATACGGCTCAGCTGACTCAGATAAGGAAATATATGATACATTATGATGTGATATGAATGATAATGGGACACATCGACGTCTGCACTCACAGTGCCGTGGACTGTACGTAATGTTACTTTGATCCGGTTACTTATGTTGTGGCAGATATTTAAGTAAGCTTTCTTAACGCTAATGTTATAATAGTCAGATTGCTCTGAAGATGGAGGTGATATTCTATTCATTTTCACGTTCACACAGTCGGTGATTTGAACTGCAACGGCAGTTTAAACTATTTCCTTTATCCTGTAATATGACTTGATCGCTTTAAACTCTGCACACTGTTGTTATCAGCTGTTCCACCATGGTTTCTACCTCAACCTGTAATAGATGTATCCTTATTGAAACGGTTACATTCAATGGAAAACAAAATCAATGTGCAGGCTTACGTGAACACTGTTCTACATGAACAATATGGGCAGTTTATACATTAAATAAATCAACAGTATAGTGGCGATATTCTTTCACACACAGTGACGTCACGAGCTACCAACAATGCATCACGCGCCATATATATATATATATATATAAATACGCCATTTTCCTGGAGGTGCAAATATCCTGGAAGTGCAAATATAAACAGCTAGCTTACGTAGCCAGGCAGAGCGCACTAGGTTTTTTTTTCTGAATTAACGACCGAAGAAATCGCTGCATGTCTTCGGATTACATCTCTGGACTTGAGGGGTGTGCTCTAGGTCGTTACCAGCGTAAACTAGAGCTGTGTGGGTTGTCGGATTGCCCTTACAGACTGCCTGCAGATGTATGGAAAAACGACCCTCGAAAGTGGCCTTCGTCGATTTTGGCTGCATCTACCTCTAATTTCTGGAAACACCAGAGAGGCTTCTCAATACTCAAATTTCCCCTCCTCGACTCCTCGGTCCTCCGGTAGTGACCCGGAAATGAATTTCAGCGCGCCATTTTGAAGGACGTCTCATTTCTCTAAATGCACACCGAGGACCGAGCATCGAGCGTCGAGGAGGCTCTCTGGATGAGCTATAACCGAGGATACACTGATGGTTCCTCCACGGCTCCTCCGCGGATGCATTTCCGGGAACGGTGGAGGCGTGACGCACGGCCGGACTTATCTCAGCCAATGACAGCTATGCATGCATCCCCTGGATATTATTTTAGAAACTGCTCTCATCGCGTCGCGATGTTTCCAGAGAGACCAGCTGTACGGTCCATGCAGAAAGCAGAGCAGTGTGTATAATATATATCACTCAGTATAACAGGCCTACTCTCTTTATTTGCTTTAGTTTAGTAGATATCTACAAACAAAGAGTCCATATTTTTCTAAGACCGTTTAGTGCTTCACATAATAAAATACACAACGGCTTATGCTTTTGGAGCTGTAGGTGTGTGTGGTACAGTGTGTAGGTGTGTGTTGTACAGTGTGTAGGTGTGTGTTGTACAGTGTGTAGGTGTGTGTTGTACAGTGTGTAGGTGTGTGTTGTACAGTGCGTAAATGCGGCGGACAGACGGGTCTCAGTTGGTTTGGTGTCCTTACTTTTAATAGGCTACTTGTAAATACAACTTTTGGCCCGTAATTTCAATTCCCCATTTCAGCGACCAGAGAGAGGGGGGGATATATCCAGTCTCTGATTGTGTTACGTTATTATGAGAGTGCTCTCATACTTTAAATTGTATATATTTATATAAATATATTTGTGTGTGTGTCCGCATCTGTAGCCTGTTATTGTCTCATTATACCGCACTCTCAATGAATTCAAAGTAAATATGTGGGGGAACAATGTTCAGCTGATCTAACAGAGATACAGCGCTATGACAAAACACTCGACAGCTGATGCAGCTGTTGCCACGTAATAATGAACGGACGTCTCTTTAAAATGACCGCTCAGAGGAGAGGAGTTCTCATTTCTTTAAACGTCTGCTGCTTCCCCTCCTCTCTCCTCCGCTCGCATCTCCTGTGGGCGGGTCTAAGTCTCGAGGAGAGGAAC